CTCTTACCTGAGCACTCAACACTAGCATCTTCTACGTGGTTACAGTTATTCTCTCCCCAAGGCCGAGCCCTGCATTCGGAGAGGGCGGCTTCTGTCCCTGTGCAGTTTACCTCATCCAGCCAGATACGGTCAGTTCCCTGTCCAAACCGAGACCTACGTGGGGCTGATAACGCCATCCCACAGCCCAGCTGCCTGCACACGACTCTGGCCTCAGTTAAATCCCAATTGTCATCACACACGGTTCCCCACTGCTGGTTGTGAAGCACCTCGACTCTCCCAGCACAGCGACTCGGGCCGTTCACCAGTCGGAGCTGAGTTAGTTCTGGGATGCCTGAGTCTGCAAATACCTCAAGGCAATAAACACTCAGGGATGGGCTAGAAGAAAGGAATATGGGGGTTTCCCCTATCCTTTACTCTGGCTCCCTTTCAGTCCCAGTGTGGCAGACTGACTGGCTCAGCGGGGCTGAGAATGGGACACTGCGGGGTTCCTCTCGGGAGGTCACCAGCTCTGATCCAGCCCCAGGCAGGGGGGAATGGCTGACTCGTGGGATGGAGAATGGGACACAGGGTCTTTCCCCGCAGGGGACTCTGGCTCCAGTAGTCTGTGTGAGGGGGATGAGCTGACGCAGTACACTGGGGGAAGGAGACCTGGAGCTTTTCCTCTGGAGGGCACCAGTTCCCCAACTCAGGCAGGGGCTGTGGCTAGCGTGGGGAGCACAGGCACTGGGCTTTTACGTCTGGGGCCCTGGGTCCAAGCTGGTAGTGAGTGGAAGTCGCAGCCATTGCAGCTCTCTGATGCCCAAAATGTGAAATGAGCTGCTGGGGTTAATTCCCCTCCGTGACAGGACAGGTGTGTGCAGGCCAGGCCAGCCCTCAGTCTGAGCGGCTCCCAGCCGAGGGGCAAAGGACATAAGTGGTCAGGAGACAACTGCCCTTTGACCCTGCCTGGGCTCCCTCCCCGTCCGCGCCCCGATGACCCTGCCTGACCGGAGCCATCAGCAGCAGCCTGGCGGGGCTGTAGTTCTGCTCCCCAAAGACTCCACTGGGGCTGACTGGGGCTGACTCGGCTCTTCTATATTCCACAGTGCCCGGACAGACAGGGCCGGCCCTGGGCTGAACTGAGCACCCTCCTGTGGTGACAGCACCACGGCAGCTAGCTCCTGGTACCCCACCCCCACCTCCCGCAGGCCCCAGCTAGCGTCACTCACGGCACCTCCACTCCCCCGGTGCAGGGGTCGGGGCCATGCGTCAGCCCCAGCCAGAGCTGAGCTGAAATGGCTCTAACAATAACTCAAGGCAAAAATATCTTTTGGGGGCAGATCCTTCGCCAGGGTAAATCTGGGGTCACCCCAAATTGAAGCAGCTCACCCAGGAGCTTCCACAGCCCAAATGTAACTTGGACTTGCTAGACAGGAGTGAGTTCTCGAGATGCTGGGTGGCCTGGGTATTTCCACAGGGACCCAACAGCCAGGATGCCCTGCACTCTGCCACACAGTCCGCCTTGCTAATAATTCACTGGTGGGGAAAACAGAGGCATGTAGTGAGGCTGAGTCCGGCAGAGGCAAGATTTGAACCCAGGTCTCCAGTTTTACATTTGAACCATTAGTTTAAATAATCTTAACTCTGCCCTTCCCCACCCCGGTTTATGAGATAGCTGTACCCAGAGCTGCACCCTGCAGCATGCACCCCACACACACCCCGCACCCTCGGCCTATGTTTGTATTTACCTGCCATTGGGAGTCCTGTCATAGAAGCTGAAAGAAAGCAAAGACATGAGGTAAGTCTCTATCTCCATGACTGGACACTTCAGGGATCTCCAAACACTGGCTGATGTAAGCAGTGGCCAGAGTGAGCTCTCCCCTGCCATCTGTTGATACACTGGGAGAAAAGGTCTCAGCTGCACATCATGTTTCAGTGACACTAGCTACTGACTCTCAGGAAGGTGGATTGCCTACACCGATGGGAGAATGTCTCCTGTCGGCGTTGGTAGCATCTACACTGTAATTTTTACAGTGGAGACGAGCCCTAAGTAGCCGGCAAAATACAAGACATGGTGAGCGACGTCAGAACCAATGACACTGCACCAGCCCTTCCAAACCGAGACACCTGCTTTCACACTGCCTGCATCGCTGAAGGTCCCACACACCCTGCTCCCCTCAGGCATGACTGGGGCTAGTGTCCCCCCACCCTGGAATGTGACAACCCCACAAGCCCTGTAATTGGATGCAAAAGTGTATTATACTGCTCACCCACTAGGTGGTGATGTGTGTAAAATATCTTATTTTAAGCCAGAGGTGGGAAAACTAGGGCCTGCGGGCCACATCCGACCCATGGGACCCTCCTGCCGGCCCCTGAGCTCCTGGCCTGGGAGGATAGCCCCT